CGTGATCCGCGCCAGATCCAGCTATCTCGCACGGTCCCGTATCTCCCAACACGCGAGCGAAACGTGGTGCGGACACCTCGCAACATCGACGCGTTGTTTGGAGGATGCGAGGATGTTACGAGGTTCACGATGTTATAACACCGCGACAGGCGCGAGGTGAACTAGTGCGCGGGTTGCAGAGAATCAGACATGTTAGGAGATCATGAACTCGAGCACGCCATGTTCGTAACATTCTAGCAGTTACATTGCAGACTACACATTGATGACACGCATTTTATCAGCTGAGAGAGTGGATACCTTTGCCATTTTTCGGGTTTCAACCCATTTTGCTTCATTTGAACGCATTTTTTGTTTGATTCTAGATATTAGTGATCATATTTGTATTTGGTCAACAAATATCGGTTTGTTAGCTTTATAGCATCGACTCCCACATCTAGAACTGACTTGTCTCAGGAAAATAAGTGCCTCTTTTGCTTTTTTCTAATTTGTAGTGCAAAAGTTATCTTAAGTGAGTGATATGTAGCAAAATGGTTTTTTCTAAATCAAGTTTTTTTCTTGCTCAATGTTTCACATTTTCATATGTGTGCAAATGCATTGATTCATTGACGGATTCATGCTCCGGTAGATCAAATAGACAAAGACAACATAGGCCGCGATTTGATACATTCTATAGCTTCCAGCTAAAGAACTTGTCATCAAAACCTTTGCTGAGAAATGATATTTTTCAAAAGAAGGGCTATTCTATTTGAAGTGGCATTTTATTTTTTGCATACAAATAACTTCTAGAAACGACTTGAAATTTTTCTAGCATTTTGGTGCAAAAGTTTCTTTAGGAGAGGTGGGCAACCCATCTAAGTAACAAACGGGAATGAGAAAGGATTGACAGAGAGCGATAATGAGGTTAAGAATAAGGGGTTGAAACCTTAAATGCGCTTCAAGCTGAAGGAAGATGAATGGCCCGGAAGGACAAACCATTATAGAGGGAGGAATTAACAAATTTCTTCAAATATTGCTAGTATACATATTGTAACACTTGCCTTTATTAATTGCGACGTCAGGTGCTCTATTTTTGAAAAGAATATGTATCAGGCGATGTCTTCAATGTTTATGATATAACACTTGTTCTACTGATAGTG